CTTTTCATTATTTCACTCTGTCTCTTTTTATTAATTATCTTCAAGCTCTTTCTGCAGCTTGACCTTCTGCTCAGTGAGACATGCATCTCAGAATGCAACATTCACTGATAATTTCTCATTTACAAGATCACTGAAATGCACTCTGCTGAGTAACTTAAAGAAATAATTATTAATCATGATATTTTCTGCAGCTGAAACCACATTGATAAACTCAGCTATCTTATTCAGTTCCTTTCACATGACCTGAATAATGTTCATATTATGCTTGTCAAGATTAGGCAGCTGTTTCAGCATCTGTAAATCTTGAGCTTTACAATTGACTGTGCAGCCTCTAGAAGACAGAATCAATAACTGTCATACACTACTGATCTTAATCTCATTGATTATCTTAGCAGGGGTCAAACAGCTTGTCTTTGTCTCATCATCTATCTTCACAGATGTTGAGATGATGCTCTGCTCACTGATTTAAATAGGTTTTGAGAGTTTCAGTGCAATCAGACTCAATATCTTATACTTGAAAGATATAGACATTCTCTTCATTAAAACTATAGTTAAGTCATTCTTCTTTCTCATATCACTGGTCTCAATAATATCATCAACATTCATCTTCTCAGCTGCAGTCTTTTCAAATCCAGATACACTCTCTTTAAACAGCAAGTTATCTGTGTTTCACTCAAGTTTATATCAGCTACAGCAATTTAAAGAGTAGTGAGATCTTTTATTTTCTCACTAATAGTTGACACAAGCTTTATTAGACTGACCGTGTGACCGTGTCTGAGACCAGGACCAGAATATTTGATGATCTCATTATCAATTCAACTGATCTCATTACACTGTTTTAACATTAGATAGTAGTCTCATACTGTTTCAGTGAGACTTACTGTCTACTCTTGTCACATTTTCCAAATGAGATCATGATTTTCACTTCTCAATTTAAATTATTTTTATTGCTTTAAATGACATTAAATCTCATTTGAGTGTTACCAAAAAGCATTACTTTTTAAAAAATTAAAAATTGTCTAAAAAATCTTAAAATGTCTAAAAATAGTAACTTTATGCCAAGAATGAGACTAAATGGAACCAAATGAGATCACTTTCTCATTTTTTTCAAGTCATGATCTCATTTTAAAATCTGATATATAGTCACTTTGCATGTTTTTTTAATGATTAGTCCCAGCGGGATTCACACCAAGAAATGTATGAGACCAGATCAAATGAAATCAAATGTGAAATTCATAGTCTCAGCAGTCAGTCTAAGCATTATACTCTTACTATGTCTGTTTATTATCTGCAGAGATGATTACATATTTCTTAAATCATCTCTGACTCTTTGTGCAAGACTGATATAATATAGAAGCTATTTCTTCACAGATCTGCAGAATAATGATATTCTGATTAGTGAAATTCTTAGAATTAATAATTCATGAAGTGATTAGTTCATCATTATTCATTCATCAGTGCAACTTTCACTTAATAGATAACTATCTCAAATCTTTAATTAATTACTAACTGAATAAAATGAAAAATTCATGATTAATAAATAACATCTTCTCACTACATTCTGTGAGTCTTTCAATGATTGAGATGGCATTTACAAGCCTCTTCACAGTCAGATTCTGCATGATTGACACACTCAGATGAGTGAGCTTGTCATTCTAATAAAAGCATAAGTCAGTCTTATTGTCATAATACAGATATCTTATACATGCTGTGTCATACAGTTAAGACATCTGATCACTCTCAATATTCTTCTTCTATTCTGACTTTCTTAAAACATCATTACTCAGAGTCTCATACTGCTTCTAACTAGCTCTTCAGTACTTCTTATTCTCTTTCATCAGTGACAGTTCTTCAGTATCTATATCTATCTGTTCAGCTTCTGCTTTTAGTTCTACTTACAGCTCTTCATCATTGACTGTTTCTACAGCAGTCTTCTGACTTTCTCTCTTCTCATTCATCTCAACATCTTCTTCTGAAAATCAGTGTATGAACAGTCATGACTTTTTCAAATATGTAAACAGTGTTATAAGCTTTTATATCATAGTCTTAGATTCTTCTTGACTCTTTAAGCTTCTATTATATAATTCATCTGTTGACTCTTCTGTGACAGCATCATACAGTCTAGCTAAGTAATAATGAGATGTCACTGTCTTTCTCTTATCTTAGTCTTTGATCACTTTTAGACTGGCCGCCGGGATCATAAATTTCACATTTGATCTCATTTGATCTGATCTCATACATTTCTTGGCGTGAATCCCGCTGGGACTGGCTATCAAAAAAACATGTAAAGAAACTATATATCAGATTTTAAAATGAAACCATGACTTGAAAAAATGAGAAAGTAGTCTCATTTGGTCTCATTTAGTCTCATTCTTGACATAAAGTTACTATTTTTAGACATTTTAAGGTTTTTTTTAGACTATTTTTAATTTTTGAAAAAGTAACACTTTTTGATAACACTCAAATGAGATTTAAAGTCATTTAAAGTAATAAAAATAATTTAAATTAAGAAGTGAAAATCATGATCTCATTTAAAAAATGTGATAAGAGTAGACAGTAAGTCTCACTGAGACAGTATGAGATCACTATCTAATGTTAAAACCATGTAATGAGATCAGTCGAATTGGTAATGAAACTATCAAAAAATCTGATTCTGGTCTCAGACACGGTCACACGGTCAGTCTAATCACTTTATATATGAAAAGATAAGTTGATAGTATCAAAAGCTTATCTCTGAAGTTATCAGAATTAAAGATTTCTGACTCATTCTTTATCTGAAATTCTAACTCTTTATCTTTATTATTTTCTTTCATCTTATTCTCATCTATCTTCTCTTTATCAGTCTTCTTACCTGTCTTCTCTTCTCTATCACTTATATGAAGAAGAGTATCACACTTCTTCTAACTTAACAACTGAAATAATTTCTCTAAGATCAAGGTCTTTTTCATCATACTCACTGTGCCTGTCTTTGCAGCTGTTAACTTCTTCTTAAGACTTATCATTTCTATAATCTAATCTTTCATATGTCATGATTTTCACTAATTCTACTATATTAAATTTTAGCAAGATGATATAAGAAATAAGAGAAGAATAAGAAGAAAGTAATTATAATATATATATTAATACAATTATTCATCTACACTGATTTGTATCACTTACAGAATATTCTTCTCATTATAATAAAACTTTTACTCTCATCTATCTTATCAAAGAACTCTTTCTTATTCAAGCTTCTTATAATTTCTTTACAATCTCTTTCTTTTCTTACAGCTGTTTTTAGATTAAAGAACTTCTGTCTCTTTCTTATCATTTCTTTTTAAGTTATTCTTACATCTTTCATTCTTTATATAAATAAACAATTCTTACATCTGATCATTCTTTGTATGAATAAGTAATTCTATTACTCAGTCTTCTCTTTTCTATAATATCTATAGTATATGTAAATAGACTAGCACTTCTGAATAATATCTGCTTCTTTAAGTCTAGTGTCTGTGATATCTGTTATCTTTTTTCAATGTCATTTTTTCTTCTCTGTGAATACATTCTTTTAAATAGAGAAACTGGGACATGCTTTCACTCTCTATTCAAGTCAATTCTCTATTCAACTCTAGCTTTCACTTCATCTCTTACTGTTTTCTAAAGCTTCTGCTTCTATCTTCTCTCTCTGTTCTTTTCTTTATATATGATTACTTCTTCTATGAGAGCTTTCACTTCTTCTCTACAGAGTCTTTATTCTTTTCTTTATATATAATTACTTCTTTTATAAGAGTATTCACTTCTTCTCTATAAAGTCTCTATTCTTCTCTTCATAGATAATTACTTCTTCTATAAGAGTTAATCTCTATAAAACAATCACTGTATATACAAGAGTATATGCTCATCTCTCATCTTTTAGAGAATTAGATAAGTTTTTACCCTTATATCTGACTCTATGTAGTGATGTACGCTATAATATTCTTGTAATAACTCTGTAGTCTATCAGCTCACTATTTAAGTAAAATAGTTAAGCTTACTTATACAGCTTCTTAAATAACTACTTTTATATAATACTACTAACTAGTCACTACTTCAGTTCTATTATATTATAAATATATATATTCTGTTTTATTTATATTTTTTAAATATATTGATAAATCTTGAGACTAAGATAACTAATATTAAAAGAAATTTTAAAAACTTTATTAATAATAAAATATTTATAAATGTTATTATTTATGTTTAGTAGTTAGAAATAAATGTTACTAATTTTATTAAAGATATTTAATTTATATAATTTTATCTTAATAACAGTGATTATAAGTTAATAGTAAGTATCTGTCAGAAAAAAAAGGTTATACACTACTGAACGCCATCAACATTATATTACTACAATATTTCTCATCATCATCATCAGCTTATTACAACGCTCATCTAATACTCGCTTATGCTAGCTCTCTTGACTCGCACATATATTTTACTATAAATAGCTCTATCTTTTGTATGAAATAGATATATTAGATAGTGTACAGATAATATAACAAGCAGATCTTGATACAAATAAGATTCATATATCTTCAACATATTCATCCGTGACACTCATTCCCAGAGTTATGAGCCTGGTAAGCAGCATCTGAAGAGAAGCGCGATACACCGATCTCAATCCTCATTTGAATTTGACAACAATCATTCAAACTGAGATGATTATACACTGATCTCAATCCTTATTTGAACTGATAACTATTATTTGAACTGAGACAATTGATCACTGATCTCAATTCTCATTCGAACTGATAACTATCATTTGAACTGAGAAGATAGATTCTCACTGTATATGTTCCGAAATACTTAACTGATATACATCCTGAATTCTGATCATATCTATTCTCAAATACTTGAACCGATTCCTCAATCCATTCAATATAACCGATATGACAGACAAGACAATGTTTAGTGTAACTATACACCTTAGCATTTCTGAAGATTGAAAACTTTGGTACAAGCATATACTAGAATATGCAAAGGACAAGAAGGTATCAGACTTCATCAATCTTGATAAACCTGATATCTTCTCTGAACTAGAAGAACCTCTGGAACCTGAGTGTCTAGAAGAAGCCACCGCGGAGGTCAAGATAGTATATGACATTCAGGTCACTGCATGGAAAATCAAATATATGAAATATGAGAATTTGAATGAAGGTATGACAAAGATACAAGATGTCATATGAAAAACAGTGAATGTCACAGAGCTATAACATGTACACAGTAAGAATGATGATGTAAAGAACATTATCTGATCATTAAGAGATTGTCTCTCTCTCACAATTACAGACTATCAAGATGATGTGAGAATCTGATATCATGAACTCTGCAAAGCACTGAAAAACAGAGATATAGAGAAGTGATTAAATGAGTGATCACTCATTGAAGATGATATCAAAGAGATGAATATAGCTGAACAGTTCAACTTGAAGAAAGACTTCTTAAATGTGAATCTAGCTATTAATGCAGATTATGCACAAGTATGAACTAAGAATGTCTGACATGATAAAGATATCATATCTTTGATAGAGTTAGTTAAGGACTTCAAGCAACAGTATAGAAAAATAGATATTCTCAAAGAAGATAAATCTATGAACTTTGCTACTCTTAATGAAAGATCTCAGTAATCATCATCAGTGACATTCAGAAACTGCATCTGTGAAGCCTGTCATTGATACACTCAGTGCTACTATCTCAATTCATCAAGAAAGCCACCTGAATGAAAGGAAAATGAGGAGAAGAGAACTCAGATTGATCAAGCTCTTAAAAATCAAGAATTGAAGAGACATGTTGATCATGTGATATCTAGAGATTCATCCATGAATACAGATATGATAGATGTCAATGAAGCAGTTCTAGAAGAAATGGTTTTGAAGCAATCAGATCATCAATCTATCAATCATCAATCTATTGATTATCAATCTATCAATCATCAATCTATCAATAATCAACCTATCAATCATCAATCTATCGATCAGCAAATCTGAAAAATATCGATGAACTCTTCACATTCTCACTCCTACCTCTGAAACTCCTGAATCTTTGATACTGGCGCGGAGCAGCATATATGCAATAATTGAACACATTTCCTATTCTTTACACCTGTGAACAAGAATGCGGAAGTCTATACGGGCGATTCCAGCACTAAAGTAGAAGATTATAGAACTGTTAGAACTATCATGATAAATGAAGCAGGAAAGCAGTTCAATGTCAATCTCATCAACACAGCTTACATCCCGAATTTCCATACAAATATCATCGCATGAAAACTGTGTTTTCATATAGAAGGCATCTATTATGATGGAAAGAACTTCAGATTGTGAAAATGTGCAGATAATACAATTTTTGCATGCATTGAAGTATTTAAGAGATTGCTAGTTACAGAATATAGTGAAATAGCTGTTTTCTTAACTATCTCAGAAAAATTCACTACTGAAGCTGATGCAGCTATCACATCACACACATCTAACATCACTATATCTGAAAAAACAATATCTTCAAATTCTTCAACTTCTATAAATCATCCTTCTAATCTGTCAATATGCATAAAACCTTCTTAAAAACCTAAGATCTCTATAGCTACTCAGTTAACATGATATAAGAGATTAGAACATTCATTGAAAATCATCATTCAAAAGCTTGTAATTGATGCAACTGATATTCAAATCATCAATCTAGAAGATACTGTGAATGAGCTTATCACTGAGCTTTGTGAACCCTGCCATCTATCTAATATAAAAAATCAAATATCTAGACATCTTCATATTAGATCTCAAATATTTTTCAAACACCTACACACGGATATCACACATGGCTCTACACAGTGCTATAATGATGAGTGTTATCTCATACATTTCATGTATGATTATCTACATTTCCATATAGCTATAACAGCTATCTGAAAATCAGAAATCTGAAAAGCTCTTAGACAAGCTATTAATTGAATTAAACATCAATTCAACTGTACTATAAAGATCATTTGTATTGACAATGATACTGTAATCAAGAAAGCAGATAATTTCACAAATTGAGTGAATGATGAAGACCTAGAGATGAAGTATTCTTCAGAGTATATTTATAAGTAAAATGATGCAGCAGAGTGAGCAGAAGCAATATTAATAATAAAGATAAGAACTCTATGAATAGAATCTCTTCTATCACAATCACTTTTCCCTGAGATTGCACTTACTGTTATCTACCTAGTGAATCAAACCTCTACTAGAATCCTAGATTGAAAGTCATCTCTATGAGTATTGAAAGAATTTCTATAAATCAAATCTTACTTCTATACTCATCTTTGAATCTACAGATGTCACATCTATGCAAAGATACTGAATGAAATTCTTAATAGGAACCGCTTGCAGAAGCTAGATTCTTAAGCATATATTGAATATCTAGTTGAATATGATTCTACAAACATTTATTGAATTTGAATTCCACACTTAGAATGAGTGATAAGAGTAAGAGATGTGATGTTTGATGAGAATAGGAAATTCAACTCAGAAGACCTCTACATTGAAAGACAACTAAGAGATTGAGTATCTAAGAAGATAAAGCTTCTACATATGAAAGTTCAAGAATCATTAATGACTACTATCAATCAATTGAAAGAGATTATAGATGCAGATATTGATGTTTTTCATTCTGAAGAAAATACTTAAAGTTCTGAAAAAATAGAGAAGGAAAATAATGAGTATAAATATCATGATGTTTTAATCCTTTCTAATGTTTTGATTCTTTCTACATCAGATTTAACATCAGAGTCAACAGGTTCTGATGTTGATATTAATACTCATTCAGCTGTGATAGATAATTGAACATGAAACATTGCATCTAGAGCTCATGATATCAGTGCTGATTTTGATGAAGCTAATATTATTGAAGATCACAGAACATGAAAATACAGAGCTGCTCATCTTGTAACAGTTGAAAATGTCAAAGACAATTCTTATTGAATGATCAATGATGCATTCTCTCATTCAAATTCACACACAGACTTTAACAAGTCTCAAAATTTATTTTCTAATACTGTTTTCACAGTTATTAACAATACAGCTACATCAACAGCATTCATACTGACTTTGAGAATTCATAGATCTCAACTGTCAGATTCACTGAATCACTGAGCAGATGTTGAAAAACACTCACATTATGAAGAATTTGAGAACACTGTTAAGTGAGAATGAAATAGTATATCTCTGCAGAATACATATGAAATTACTAGCAGATCACAGAGAGATGTCTCAATTATTCCTCTATAATGAGTATTTATCTACAAATTCAATGATAAAGGTTTTCTTTTGAAATACAAAGCTTGTATCTGCATATGTGAAGATCTTCAATCAATCACAGATCTCACTATAAAAGCTTACACATTAGCTGTCAGAGATCTCTGAATCTTATTAACTTTAACAGCAGTATTTGATCTAGATGTGGAACAGCTAGATGAAATCAATGTCTTCATTAATAGTGATATTGATGAGTTAGTATATGTGAAACTATCTGATAAATGATGAAAGTTGAAGAAGATGCAAAATTTGAAGTGTACAAATCATGTGCTAAAACTTCTATGAGCACTATATAAATTACACAGATCATCTCTTCTCTGGTTAAATGAACTATCTTCAACATTGAGAACACTAGACTTCATCTCTATGTCAGAGAATTGATGTCTCTTCTCTAATGATTGATTAATTATCTTCTTCTATGTGAATGATATCATCATTCTATCACAATGAGAAGATTCAAAAGAAAGAGATCAACTAATCAAAGATCTTAAAAATGCCTATAAGATTTGATAGATAAGAGATTTGAAATGGTTTCTCAACATGCAAATAATACATGATCGCTCTAACTTGAAGCTCTGGCTATGTCAGAATGCCTATATTGATAAGATAGTTAATACATATCATCTCACACACACTCGCAAGGCATATATCTCACTAACTGATGCTCTGTTAGAGCCTTTTAATGAGCCAGTCATATCTGCAAAAATCCATTATTATTAACAATGTATTGGCTTCTGCATCTATTAAGTGATGATGACTCACCTGGATATTGCATATGCAGTGAATAAACTAGCTATGTTTATGACAAATTCATTAGAACATCACTTATCAGAGATGAATAGAATGATATCTTATCTATGTGATATGAAGAATCTTGCTATTCAATATGATGATAACATTGACAGACCTCTATAACTTGATCTCAAACCTGACATCATTGAAGTTGTCAGTGATGCCTCTTTCACAGATAATCTGAATCACTGCTTTACATAAGAATATATCTTCAAACTATTCAGTGAGACTGTTGATTGAAAATCAAATAGAGAGACAATTATAACTACATCTATCACAGAAGCTGAGCTTGTTGCAATCTCATGAGCTGGCAAGAAGTCTATCTGATGAGATAGGTTCTTTCAACATATTCAATTTGAACCTGGCCACAAGATTCATATTCAATGTGATAACTGTCAAACTGTTGACATTCTTACAAAGAAAGACCTCTCTATAATCACAAAGCTTCATCACATTGATATATATGGAAGCTGACTCTGAGAACATGTTCAATCCAGCGATATTACAGTTGATTGAGTGCCTATGACTCAGATGCCAGCGGATGGCCTCACTAAGACTCTGCCACATCAGAAACATACGGAATTTGTCAAGATACTAGGCCTAGTTGATATATCAGATATCATCAAGGTGTAAGCAGAATAAATGATCTATCTTGATATAATCTCTATAGATTCATCTACACTCTTTTTATTGCAGCTTCATTTACACTTTCATTTACACTTTCATTTACATGTTACATTCACTGAAGGAGATATGTTAGAAAAAAGAGGTTATATACTACTGAATGCTATCAACATCATATTACTACAATATTTCTCATCATCATCATCAGCTTACTACAACACTTGTCTAATACTCACTTATGCTAGCTCTCTTGACTCACACATATATTTTACTATAAATAGCTCTATCTTTTGTATGAAATAGATATATTAGATAGTGTACAGATAATATAACAAGCAGATCTTGATATAAATAAGATTCATATGTCTTTAACATATTCAATCGTGACACTCATTCTCACAGTATCTAAGACTGAGAGTATATCTTTTATACAGATAGCTTTCAGAGTTTTCAGACATTAAATAAGTTATATATTAATATTAATTATTTAATAATTCTAAGTAATTAATTTATTAACTTAATGTATAAGAGCGTGAATTTGAGTAATTTAACTAAGTATTATTTTTTTACTGTGAAACACTGTATATAAACATGTAAGAGAAGAAAAAAAA